CAGGTGGGATATAATTTTACCCGCATTTAGCATTTTAAAATATGGGGTGCTAGCACTGCGAGCTGCTTTTGGTGTGCAACATTGTCCTTATTTGCGGGTTCACTACATGCTAGAGGCCAACGCATCTCGGGACCTGTGCAGCAGAGTGCGTTTGGGATCCGTGCCTGTATCGACTTATGTGTGGATGGTTGCTGGTGGGGGTTTTTAACTTACTAGCAATTTCTTCCTACATCAGGCTTGTTATTGAATCAGCGAGTGGGAGGTGGGATATAATTTTACCCGCATTTAGCATTTTAAAATATGGGGTGCTAGCACTGCGAGCTGCTTTTGGTGTGCAACATTGCCCTCATTTGCGGGTTCACTACATGCTAGAGCCCAAAGCAACTCGTGGCCCTTGCAGCAGAGTGCGTTTGGGATCCGTGCTGCCTGTATCGACTTGTGTGCGGATGATTGCTGCTGCGGGAGACCTAACTTGTCATTAATCTTTTCTTACATTAGGCTCAGTGTTGAAATATCTACTAGGCGGTGTGTATTGTTAGCGGCGAATACGTTGTCGTAGTCGCAGGAACAGGTGCCGGATTTGTGGGCGCAGCTAGCGTACCTTAGCCGTCTGGGCGTGGAGCCTCTAGAGCCAATTTATATCAGCTATCGTTTGCACTCTTCCCTGCACCTATCGCTAAAAACGGCGACTCCGTCTGTAACGCTTTAGTCCGGTCTGGGACACAACTGAGTCTGACTCTGTGCCTCATCCGCGGTGAGAACATCCTGATCAGCGTCATTTCTTATTAATTTTTATGTTGAGTTGCCTGCATTAAAACGTTGCCCGTAGTCGAGGGGCCCCACACAGAATGCCCTACTCGTCAGTGCGTGCCCACGGCACTGCGTGCGCGTGCCAGAGCGGTGTGCGCTGGGCAGCAGCAGCGGTCAATATGGACAGCATCGGCACTACTGACAGGGCCAAAACCTTACTATCTGAGTCGACCACCCATCCATGGTACACATGATAGAGATTTTATAAAGGGGTCCCACTGGGGAAACGCTGTTATGTGGCTGCGGTGGCACGTGATGAACGTGATCGCTGAGTCATTCTTTCAATGCAGAAAGGCCAACCGTAGTGCTCAACTGCTGTATGGATGTATTTTGACACCCGTTTCCTTCCTGAATTTAGTTATTCCTACTCCATAGACACTCATGAGATTGCTGATCTTCAATATCAGATACGCGGAGCGGGGTAAGTACTATAGCGTAGGCAGCGATCTCCTTTGATACTATTCGGAGATGCAACATAACCCGTTATACATCGCAGCTTCACTTCGTACAGAAGGTTTGCGCAAAATGCATGACAATGCTTTCCCTGGCTGTGGAGGTATCTACGAACCAGAGAAAAACGTGAAGAGGGACTCTGTGCTGACTAACGTAGCGCGTTGTGGAATATAGCCTGAACGGTTTTGAGTTCCAGCATATGAAGTATGTCAGTCATTGCCAGACGTTGCTTATAGCTGATCCTTATCCCATCCATTGAGCTGCTTTGGAAGGGATTGTCAGCGGATTTCATTACGAATTCCCCACTATTCAGAGCTACAGCAGTTTAGTTCCTGTGGATATACTCAAGAAGTATTTACATTTCGCTGTCTTCGACCACAGTAACATTAAATGATCTGGCTTAAAGAGCGATGAGTCACGTTTGGACGGCTCATGGATTCTGGAATACCCTGGACCATTGCATGGCGGTGTTCCTTGCTAGCCCTTTCGGGCTAGCGGTTCAAGCCCGATCATTATACGATCACTGCGAACCACTTGCTTCATGCAAACTAATCTTGAAAAGCACGCCATTTCCTGGTGCAGCAATCGGTGCTATATACCAACCGTTTTCCGTGGGTTGACTCCCTTATTGAGCTAATGCACTTCGTGCCTCAACGGCTGTTACAAGGCACTCCCACAGGGGAACATACGCCAGCCTCCACTGAGTATTCACTAACACCATACGCCATTGCTGAACACCTTCAACAGCTCATCAACTTTCAGTAGCCTGAATGCACACAAATATGGATATACCAACAGCCTCTAGCGTATCGTGCTACATCGGGAGCATCAAGCCACACATGGGACCTATGGGGAGACTCGCTTGTTGATCGGTCACGCAACTAACGGGAATCAAATCCGTCTCCCATTCCATGAAACGCACTTTTCTCCCACCCTCTTTAATACTGGAGGCACCAAAGCCTGCGCATGTCCTATCGATTCCTTCTTCGTGCATCCCAACTTCTTCCAGTTAGCTTTCAGCATGGGAAGCACTGCCCAAAAACCACAACTATACCCCGTATTGCATGTAGTGTGATTGCATCAAACGGGTGCTACACTCATCAGCTGTTATGCGTACAAATTTCCCGTGATGGTTAGCCTCCTGACGTAGGAACACCTATTGAGGCATTTACTACTGTATGAAATCATTGCACCCCAACTGTAAGCTTGGTGCCACTAACTAGGCTCCTTCCACTCTTCAGCCAGGTTCAAGCTGCCACATTCCTGCACGTAGATGACCATGACCTTTTTCCCACTAAGAACCCAGCTTAATAGGAGTTTACCTTTTACTAATGAGCCATAGATCCAACACAAAGTCGGGGACACCATCTGACGGCCCTGTCACCGCTCTTCACTGTGTGTGTGTTAGTGTGAAAGTGTACTGGGTTAGCTGGTTCTGAATTGTGGCTACAGACAGGAACCAGCATATGTCTTAGCTCGAACCTTGGTATTCTAAGTGACATACGAGGATTGTTTAGGCTGTGGAGGGATGGCGAGAACTCTGACGCGGAGTGCCGGAGATTTCATCGGATTGGCCATACGGAGGGTGCAGGCGGCCCTCCACCACCCTATCGACCTGGCAGCAACATTGCGCCTAACATATGGCGTGATGCATCTCCACACAATTCCTCACCATAGAGGCCGAACCCCAAAGCGGCGGCACACAGAGATTGCCGCCACCCGTTGGAATGCGACTTGAGCCCTGACTTTCTACTCGTATCTTAACGCCAAGCTGCCCAAGTGAGTGCACACCATGTTGAAGCTCGCACAACTCCCCACTAGTACTCTGGGTTAGTCCGGCAGACGTGAATCAAGTGCCCTCTACCATTAGTGACAATAGTGCAGTTCGGTGCGTGGTTCTGAGCTTGGCATGATACAAACATAGTGTCAGGAAAGCTCTGTCGGCTTGCGGACTCGAGGAGCCATAAGCGCCAAAGCAGAACTCGCGCCAGTATCCACCGTAGCAGGCATCCCTGCATGCAGGTTTTGTTAATTTGGCTTTTGCCACAAGACGATGAATGCCTTGACCAGTATATCAATGCGTTTGCCTAGTTTCGCCGGGTCAGTTTACTCGAAGCCCGACTCGAAGCCTTAGATGTATCATGAGCTGCGGAGTAGAGGACAATTATTCTAAGAAGACGGGCCTGCTCTCCATTGCATATATTGGCGGCCCCGTTGACTGTTTGGACGGCATGATAAGCATATGAGGATATGGATATGAGCTGCTGCTCCTCCGTCACCCCAACCAGGCGACCACGTTTTACCCTTGACAGCCGCTGACGGCCCGTGAAGACTGTTGCCACGTGACGTGCTTATCCTCAGATTATACAAGTCTTATTGGAGGGTGTTGTACGCTTTGTTGTTGTGCGGCAAGCAAAAGCCCCGTCGCTGGTAGCTCGAGTCTACAATGCATGCAAGAAGTATGCACAACTTATACACTCATGATAAGGTTGCATTAAGAGAGACTCTGTGCAGAGGAAGGGCACGGACTGGAGGCAGGTTTATACAGACTGGATGCCTCTATAAAGGAAGGTATCTTTTTTGCACGCTACCTACCTAATCCCTTAGCTATTTAAGAGCCAGACTTGTAACTGCATTGTTACTCCCCTTATAAGGAGAAGTAAATATGTAGGAAGCGCGGTTAACTGTGTATGAAACAGACAAGAAACGCAGTAGGGAATGAGGCTACCTCTCGGGCAAAGAAACATGCACACAGGCAGTTATAGTAAGAATAGAAATATTTATTCTCCTGTGCAATATCTGAAGAAAAGTATTCTTGCTGCTGCTGCTGATGCTGCGTCTCTAACAGGTGTGCTGCAGGGGGAGACGGCAGTCGTCTACGAGTCTCTTGCAGCAGCACTGCTGACCACTCCTCCCTACGTCCCTGCCCGTAAACGTACTGTGCCCGTTATTAATCTTCTAGCGATAGTAACTATTTAATATAAGACTCAACATTAAAGGGCTTATTTCTTTAATAAGGAAGAGACTTCTCCCTTGATTCTTACGAGTCGAGGTGTCCCCTGGCGGCCGCCGCCCGGTGGTTGCTGCGTGTAGGTCTCTCTCTGGCTCTGTGTGTACTGTAGAGACAAAGATGATCTTGCTGCCCTACGACTCGTGTGCCTGTATAAAGAGCTGCATGCATGCATGCATCAGTATCCTTTATTAAAGAAAAGTATTTTATGTGTACAAACAAAGAAAGGGAGAAAAATTAAATCATTCAGGACAGAAGTCTTAATAGAACAAATCCTATCTGCAGACGATGTGCAAAACAACAAGAAAAAGGCAGCAGCACAAGCAGAAGCTGCTGCCACTGCAGCAGCAGCTGTCACCGCAGCAGCAGCTGCCACCGCAGCAGCCCCTGCCACGGCAACCTGTCTGTACCCTTGATCAATAAATTCTTTAGAACCTTCGTCGTGTCTTACGACGAATAGGAGTTGTCTTCTTCTTGTATTCTTCTTTAGATAGCGCATGCATTTTGCTGTTTTCTGTAGGAAGGGGGAGGGGCTCGTGCTTCCTCTTACTCGTGCTGCTGCTACGCTTCTCCTGCTGCAGTAAATGCAGCAGCACACGTCCCACTGCCAACAGGGCATCCCTGTTCTCCTGCGTACCAGACCAACGCAGCAGCAGCAGTACCTGCAGCAGCTGCAGCAAGGCCCCCTGCTGCTGCAAATGCTGCAGGTAACAATCTAGATGTAAGTATACAAGATAAGGCGGTAAGACTCGCTGCAACGTCAACTCGCTGCGAGCAGCAACAGCAGCAGAATCGTCATAATATGACTCCTCAGAAGCCCCGTCGCCGCGCTGCTGCGGAGCTGCAGCAGCAGCAGCAGCAGTAGCCGCTGTGGTGGTATCAGTAGCTCCTGCTGTTGCAGCTGATCGGTGCTGCTGCTGCTGCTGGTGCTGCTTAGGGTTGGGGAGCTGCTGCCGTAGCAACGCCAACATTTCTTGCTGCAGAGGCTCGAGTTCCCCGTCCACCATATCCAGACCTACAAGGCTTCTGTAAGCTGCTTCTGCTGCTGCTGCATCTGCTGCGCCAGCTGTGCAGCCCTCAGCTGCAGCAACAGCAGCAGCGGAAGACTCATATCCTCCATCCAACGCTGCCGACTCTAACTCAACTGCTACCGATAAGACAGCAGGCTGCGCCCCGATGCAGGAGCTCAGTTGGAGGTACTTAGGTTGCTGCCTCTGCTGCTGCTTCGCTGCTGTGTCGTCCTTCGGCTGCTGCCTGCTGCTGCTGTCACAAAACTTGTCTGCAGGCTGCATATCTGTCAATCGTAACAACGGGGTACTTGCAATAGCAGCAGCAGCAGCAGCTAGACCTCGCAACACCACTTCCTGCTTCTGTTCTGCTGCTCCCTCAACTTCCATGCTGCTGCTGCTGCTGCTGCTGTTGCTGCCGCTGCTGCGGTCGTTTGCAAGCGCCGCTGCCGAGTGTATAGCGGGAGCAATGGCGGCAACAATAGCACCAGCATACAATTCTTGCTGCTGCTGCTGCTGCCGCTTGAGTACTGCAGCAACAGCATCCCGCAAGTAGTACTGCTGCTGCTGCTCGTCAATGCCCAATTCAAATGAACAGCTACACAAGAAGCATTGCCTGAGTCTCTGTGCCTCTTGCATGAGGACCCGGGGAGGGCAGATAGCTGCTGCTGCTGCTGCTGCTGCTGCACCTGTTGCTGCTCCCGCGGGTGCTGCTGTGCACTGCCGCACTGCATGCAGCACCCGCTCACACTCCTCTAAGGGGGCGGCGGCGTCCCCTGAGCGATCCCCCCAGCTAGCAGCAGCCGCAGCTACTGCTGCTGCTGCTTTCTTTGTAGGGAGAGCAGCAGCTAGCTGCTGCAACACGGTTGTCCATTGCTTAGGAGATGCCGACACTACCCTGCGTATACACCCCACAGAAGTGTGTTGTTCTGTGCCGTCTGCTGCTGCTAAGTGCCCTTCAGGTAGGGGCCCCCCTGGGGCCCCCACGCCATCAGAGGAGCGCCCCGGGGGGCCCCTGATTGGCTCGACGCTGCAGCCGACGCTGTTTGCTGCAGCAAAGCACCACTGCCACAACTTCGCTTCCTGCTGCTCGAGTTGCTGCACTGCCTCTGCTGTCACAGCAGCTAGGCCTGTTGCTTGCTGCTGTTGCTGCTGATCTTCTGCTGCTGCTGCTGCAGAGCAGGAGAGCCCTGCTTCTGCACCTGCTGTTTCTGAATTCCCCGCCGTTGTGAAGGCGGAATGAGCAGCAGAGTCAGCAGCAGCAGCAGCAGGTGTGTCTTGCTGCCCTATTTCTGCTGCAAACTGAGCAGCAAGAAACGGAGGCAACCAAGAAGGAAAACGGGGGGCCCCTACGGGGGCCCCTACAGGAGGTTCAGAGAAACCAGTTGGGGCCCCTTGTGCCTCATGCTGCCTCAGTTCAGCTTTACCAAGAGAAATGAGTGCATGCGCTGCTGCTGTCATTTGCTGCTGCAGCGCTAAATACGGATCTGATGCGGCTGCTGCAGCAGCTGCGGCATCTGCTGCTGCTGCTGTTCCTCCTAAGGCAAGAGAATCATCCGAAGAGGAGCGGCTTGCTGCAACAATCCAACTTGCTGCTGAAGGCCACGGCTGCCAGCCTCCTGCTGCTCCTGTTGCTGCTGTTGCTGCTCCTCCCCGTATTGATGCCAAGGAGTGTCGTCCCAACTGCTGCTGCTGCTGCTGCTGCTGCTGCTGTATGCGGCGCCGCATGTGCCGCTCTAAGTGCACTAACTTAGCAGCAGAGGTGGTGAAGCGACGGGAGCAGCAGAAGCAAATAAAAGGCTTGCCTGCATGCATTTGCTGCAGCAGCGCGGGGGAAGGAGGAGCAGCAAGTAGCTGAGAATATATAAGACGATTACCAATAACTTGCTGCTGCTGCCGCTGCTGCTGCCGCTGCCGCAGCCGCGCCAGCAGCGACAGCAGCAGCACAACAGATAGAGGGGAGAGCTCAGATACATTTGCTGTATAAGTCTGATGTTTTATTTTATCATATGCTCGTGTTACTGTGGCTAGCTGGTGCACCTCCGTGGTTAGCTGCTGCTGCTGCTGCTGCTGCTTGTCTGTGGCTAGCTGCTGCTTCTCCGTAGCTTGCTGCTGCTGCTCCCTTTGGAAGAGACGCCGCAAACCATCAGGAAGAAGAGAAAGAGATATCTTTGTAAGGGGAGCCGCAGCAGCAGGGTTTACCTCTAAACCTGCTTGCTGCTGCTTGTTGCTTCTCCTGCGCGATCCTGCTGCTGCTGCAGTTGCAGGATGCTTGCTGCCCTTCGTTGCTGCACCCACCCGCTGCTGCTGCTGTTGCTGCTGCAGCAGAGGCAAGAAACGACACAAGGAAGATGGAGGTGGCAAAGATAATAGCACCAACGGGTCTACTTCCTTCCCTCCTGCTGCAAAGGGGCCCCCATCTCCTAGGGTACGGGGGCCCCCCCCTTGTGCATCTAAGGCAGGCGGGGGCATATTTGAGGGTAAGAGAAAAGAGGAAACAAAAGTAATACACTAAGAGGGAAAGAGAGGGGCCCCTGGGCCCCCTCTCTTCCCCTAGTCAATCTATTAAGCAGGAGAAGGAAAAGGGATCCTATAACGGTAAACAAGAGTTATAGAGCATTCCCCTTCTATTCATAAGGAAGAAATACTACAAAATAAATGATATTTTGCATATAAAATGTTTTATTTGAACTAGAAATGCCTGTATATGTGAATAAATGCATGCAGGTTTGCATGCATGCTTTTTGGGGCTGGAAAACTATGCGCATGCATATATATTCGACTTTCTTTCTTAATATTCAGATAATGTGATGTTTATTAAATTATTATTTTTTGTTTATTTATTATAATTTAATTATATATAATATTAAGAGAGCGCATGCAGTCTTACGGGCATTATTATTGTTTGCCCCTTCCCTTTTCTTGTTGCTGCCTGTATCCATAGTTGAATAAAAGGTTATTTTCTTTGTTTTTCTTCTTTTTCCTTCCTTTTTTTTTCTTTTTTTTTCCTTTTCCACCTCTTTTTCTTTCTTCTTTAATAAAAATATAAGATGGCAGACGCAGCAACCCGTGCTCTTGTAGCAAAACTGCCTCTTTGCTCCGTTAATGCAGGACCAAGAAGTCCTCAGTGGAACGACAGACTAAAGGAAGAATATTTAGCATTAATTAATTATTTAACAATCGCTAAAGAAAATGATAAAGAATGGTTCAAGATAGAGGCCAACAAAGAAGGAACAGAGTAAGACAAGCAATAACAGCAGCAACAGCAGCAACAGCAACAGCAACTGCAGCGCAACAGCAGCAACAGCAACTGCAGCAACAACAGCAGCATAAAGGGCTAGCGAAGCAGCAGATTGGCTAGAGGATTCATTTAGAGTTCCTTAGGGCCCACAGGGGCCCCTCCTCTCTTCCGCAGGGGCCCCTCCTCTCGTCCGCGTTGTTAGGTAGATATTTATCCTTATTAAATATACAAGAAGAAAAAGAACAATTAATTCTATTATAATTAATTCTTATTAAATAAACAATAAAAAGAAAAAGGATTAATTAATTAATTTTTTTTTTTTTTTTTTTTTTTTTTTTT